CGCACTGCTCGGAGCGGGAGTCGCTTGGAAGGAATTGCCCCGTACTCAGATACTGCCCGTTTCAGTGACCATGGCAGGGACACCATCATTTGAACTCCACATGGGGGGGGTTCTCAAAATTGTGGACCCACTTTTGGTTGGTAGGGAAAACCGAAAGGACACCTACTGTTTTAGGGGACCATTACTTATTAAGTTGAGAAACCCCCAGATGTCATTGCAATCTGGGGATGCTCCGGGTCTGATGTACAGTTTTGGATTGCCAAGATTCTGCGATTCACGCAGGTGCATCTGCATTCCAGGAGGATCCGGAGCCAAAGCGTGTTGTCGGTCCAGCGTATGTTGAGGCTAGTGAATCTGAGCGAGCAGAACTGTTTCCGGTCCTTGGGATGGTCTGCTGTCTGAAGGAAACCTGTCGCCTGCACTTTCTGCCTGCGAGTCTCCCATGTCGGCTGCACTCCGGGGAGAAACAACTAGAGGACGATTGGCCCGAAAGCATTTTTCCACAGGTGCTCATCCAGCTGTGGGGACACCTTTTTACATCGCTGCGGCGAGCGTGTCTGCGCGCGGCGATGCTCAGTGTGTATGGTCACATGAGAGCTCCATCTCATCATCCTACTTTCCTCTCGAACTGCGCCGCGCGATTTCTCACGAAAGTGGTCTGCGCAAGCTGCATTGTTCCAGGCTGCTGCGCGCAAGTTGCTCTCTGCAAGCTGCTGCGCGCAAGTGCTCTGTGCAAGTTGCTCTGCGCAAGTGCTCTGAGCAAGTTGCTCTGCGCAAGTGCTCTGCGCCAGTTGCTCCGCGCAAGCGCTTTGCGCATGTGCTCTGCGCAAGTTGGTCTGTGCAAGTTGCTCTGCGCCTGCTCTGTGCAAGTTGCTCTGCGCAAGTGCTCTGAGCAAGTTGCTCTGCGCAAGGGCTCTGCGCCAGTTGCTCCGTGCAAGCGCTTTGCGCATGTGCTCTGTGCAAGTTGGTCTGTGCAAGTTGCTCTGCGCAATGTGCTCTGTGCAAGTTGTTGCTCTTGCTCTGCGCAAGTTGCTCTGCGCAAAGTTGCTCTGCGCAAGGTGCGCCAGCAAGTTGCTCTGCGCAAGTTGCTTGCGCAAGTACTCTGCGCAAGTTGCTCTGCGCAAGTGACTCTGCGCAAAACTGCCGGAGCGGGGGTGTGCTCCGCGTACTACGTTTGTACTTAAAAGTTGCGATTCTCCAGCCGGAGCTGCGGGGGTGTGCTCCGCGTACTACGTTTGTACTTAAAAGTTGCGATTTTCCAGCCTGAGCTGCGGGAGCACGCTCCGCATACTACGTCTGTACTTAAAAATTGCGATTTTCCACCCGGAGCTGCAGGAGCACGCTCCGCGTACTACGTTTGTACTTAAAAGTTGCGATTTTCAAGCCGGAGCTGCGGGGGTGTGCTCCGCGTACTACGTTTGTACTTAAAAGTTGCGATTTTCCAGCCTGAGCTGCGGGAGCACGCTCCGCACACTACGTCTGTACTTAAAAGTTACGATTTTCCAGCCGGAGCTGCAGGAGCACGCTCCGCGTACTACGTTTGTACTTAAAAGCTGCGATTTTCAAGCCGGAGCTGCCGCGGACCACGGGGGAATCGAACCCGCGACCGCGGGATTGCGAAAGCAGGCGCGCAAACCACGAGACAACTTCCAAAGGTTTCGCGAGCAAGAATATTGCACGGCGCCACAGCGAGAGCGCTTCGACGCGCACGATCTCCGCAGAGGGTCTCGCGCGGCCAGCAGAAATCGTAAAAAGTCCTCAGTTTTTGAACCTCGACCACGCGAATCTCGCAGAGGGTCGCGCGCGCATGCTAAAAATCGTAAAAAGTCCTCAGTTTTTGAACCTCGACCACGCGAATCTCCGCAGAGGGTCGCGCGCGGCCAGCAGAAATCGTAAAAAGTCCTCAGTTTTTGAACCTCGACCACGCGAATCTCCGCAGAGGGTCGCACGCGAATCTCCCAGAGGCGAATCTCCGCAAAAATCGTAAAAAGTCCTCAGTTTTTGAACCTCGACCACGCGAATCTCCGCAGAGGGTCGCAATCCCGAGCGACGATCAAACTCCCGCCTATAGAAACCTAAACTAACTTACATAGCTGCTAACGCCGAAGCTCTAAGCTCTACCTAACCTTGGCTCTATGTAACTTGGCTCTATGTAACTTGGCTCTATGTAACTTGGCTCTATGTAACTTGGCTCTAACTTGGCTCTATGTAACTTGGCTCTATGTAACTTGGCTCTATGTAACTTGGCTCTATGTAACTCTATGTAACTTGGCTCTATGTAACTTGGCTCTATGTAACTTGGCTCTATGTAACTTGGCTCTATGTAACTTGGCTCTATGTAACTTGGCTCTATGTAACTTGGCTATGTAACTTGGCTCTATGTAACTTGGCTCTATGTAACTTGGCTCTATGTAACTTGGCTCTATGTAACTTGGCTCTATGTAACTTGGCTCTATGTAACTTGGCTCTATGTAACTTGGCTCTATGTAACTTGGCTCTATGTAACTTGGCTCTATGTAACCTGGCTCTATGTAACTTGGCTCTATGTAACTTGGCTCTATGTAACTTGGCTCTATGTAGCTTGGCTCTATGTAACTTGGCTCTATGTAACTTGTCCAAGGGCTCCGCACAGAAGAACCCTTCGCGATGCTTTCGGGAAAAAAGAGTTGTGAAATGGCTGTGGCTCAAAAAAGCGGTACCAAAATGGCTTGCCCTGGTAAGTGGAAACATGGACCAAAACCTGCGTGACCCGTCCTGTTTAATCTTGAGCCACACCCAAATGGGCTTTTTGACCTCGAACTTGGGGACCTTTTGATGGACCTCATTCTGGGACTACCCATGCGCCAACTTCTAAGTCGTTTCAGGGATCCTTACATTATACACCTGAACATTGCCTTGTCATGGTGGTTTCCCCTCATGTTGGTGTTGAAAAAGCCATGTTTCAAATGGTTGCCTGCTTTTCCCATTGAACTTCTGGCCCCCGCAGCCATCGTCGACCTTCTCGCAGCTGGAGCGTTACTAACCAGCCCATTTTGATGGATTCAGCGATAGGCTTTTCTCCAAATGGGTGTGGTTCAAAATTAAACCGGGGACCGCAGATTTTGGTCATGCTTCCACTCACCAGGGTTCCATTTTGGGTACCTATTTTTGACCCACCGCCAAATCAGGAAAGCCCAACATGGGCGCGGCCTATCCCTTTGGCTGTAGTTTCAGCTTGTCTGAAAAAGAGAAGCCCATGGGACGGTGGCGGTTCTGTGGCTTCCCTCTGCTAATCCGGCGCATCCCTTTGGTTGAGTTCTAAATCCCCGAACGGATGCCAACTTTCAACAAGATCAACCCATCTTCTAGGTCCTCCAGTAGAGAGGTTAGAATAATTCAGGGTACCAACTTTTCTTCTGTAGTCTAGTTTAGTAGAACCCTGCCACAAAAAAGTTGGTAAAAGGGCACTACTGGGGGACCTAGCCTTGCTCACCAAAGCGAGGCTCGCGATGTGGACCCCTCAACGCTATGCTCTGGGCTCCGGAGGCACAGCCGCCTCGAATCTGTGACATCCCCGCGGCCGCGAGGGCCGCGAGGGGTGATGGAAAAAATGCAAGCAGCTTTGGCACGCAAAGAGAAAGCCCATGGTTGTGGAAAATCGCTGCGATACCAAGATGGGACTCCGTGTTACTACTTACAAGCAGCATATATCCAAATGCCAAAGCCAGAGGTGCAGGGCGTCGGTGGCAAGAGGTCCAGCAACACCGCCAGAAGTGCCAAGCAAACATGAGACCATGGACACTAGCGTATAGTTTCCTTGCGTGCAGGGTTGTCGCCGAATGTCTCTGATGGTTCAGTAAGCATAATGTCAACTTCGGATTAGTCCGGATGACCACGCTACTCTGCGGTCCTAGTTCCAGGAAAATGACCTCTAATTGGCACGTCGGATCCCAGTGAACATTAGCCACATGCTCTTATTCCATGACAATCGCCTATATAATAATAACCACATGCATGCTGTCTCGGAACCAAGCCACCACTTCGGTCAGCATTTGCTCGCGCAATGCAACCCTAAGTTTGCTACATGCCACTGCACCCAGTCATGCTCCCAACGATGAATGAGGCTCTGACTCCATACACAATTCTGCACAGCACAACATGGGCCGTGCATGCCCCTAGCAAGACAATAAAGCAAGGTAACCATGGTAAACGCATTTAGCAAAACCACCGTGTGACTTCTGCGCATCATACTCATACTGAACTACTGGCGAACCATGGTCAGGCAGCACTCTGCCAAAGAATGCCAAAGAACGAAGCAACTATATCATTGCGTTGCAATAGAACAAATGCAAGAGTAACGCCCCCACTGGCTCTACAAAACCAAGCATATCAGACTGCTCACATTGCTGCCGCTGGGAATCCAGGCTGAAGAATCGTTGATGCATGGGGGATGTCCCACTCTACAGGCGATCCTTGATTTAATTGGGGGGAAACTCGGGGAAACCCCTAAGAATTCGCAAAGCTTGCTCACTCCAAGCAGTGAATCTGCAGGCCTCTCCTAAGCCACTCGAACAGTTCGAGCCTGACACTTGTTCAGTGGCCGCCAATCTTATGGTGTTCAAAGTGAGGAACACACCGTAGCCCTTGCCCCCTTCATGACTCGACGTATCCCCGAATGATGTAGATTCCAAAGAAACGCGTCCCAGGGTGTCCCAAAGTCTTACAATTGCAGATTTGACACCATGTTAGTTCTCAATAAGAATGCACAACGAAGCATTTGAATCGCTTTGGAGAGCCATCTATCGAATCGGGATCCGGGGCAGGCCGGGGAGTGGGAAAACATGCTGTTCGTTTTACGGGATGCATTTACTCACAAATCTGAGCTGTCCTCAGATCCCCCGCTAAAAGTTTAACTCTTAGTGGGCTAAATGGAAAACCCCAAACACTAAAAAGCTAAAAAACTAAAAAGCTAAGGGGATGGCTGGGAGCCACCAGGAAATGGATTAAGCCAAAGGGAGAGGTGGCCAAACAAGAGAAAATAGGGAACGAGGGTTTCTGCCACTGAACACGTGTCTGGACAAGAATAACTTCTGCGAGCGGAGTTCGCTCTGCTCACCTCATGATGCTGGCGCCAGCCCGCGAGAGCTGCCCGGCATTCTTGCCTCGCAAGGTCAGCTGTGGGCCGTGCGTACGTTTAATGGGGTCATTACCCCACACAATGGGCTCATGGACCCATTGTTTAAAGGGTCATGGAGACTCCAGCACCAAACTTCTGCACCAAGATGGTTGTCAGCCAACGATACCACACGAAAACAAAAGGCATGTGTAGTTTGGCACATCAAACAAGCTAAGAAACGGAAGCAAGAACGGAAGAATGACGCAAAGCCGAAGCTTAGCTTGCTGTTGTATGGACACACACCGGACTGAAGGTTCCCAAGCTAAAGTCATGCGGCTTGCATTTGTGGCTTTCCTGAGAGACCTATGCTGCAAGAAAACCTTTGGGAGTCGGCCCTGAGAGTTGCTTGCGGTTTTTTTGCTATGTTGCGAAGGCATCTCTCCACTTTCATGCTTGAAGGAGGCGAGTTCTGATGTCTATCACCCGAGTCATAATCAACACCTGGTACACAAATGGTCTACCCAGAACAATGTAAAGCATTAACAAGGCGGCCGAAACTATTTCTGGCTGGGACTGCCCCTGACTAACCTTCATCTACCCGGGTTTGATTGTGGCTCACCTGTTGAGACGGCATGTCGAAAGACGCCGTTTCTGCAAAGGTTCCCAAGGCGCGGTTGAGACTCGATGCATTGCCCGGCCTGCGGGCTTCCACGCAGGGCCGAGCCGCCGCTCATCTTGGAAGAGGCACGCGCCTGTGAAGAAATAGCCACAGGGGCTGGGGTGGAGGGAGGAGGGGGGAGGGGGGAAGGGGGGAGGAGGGCGGAGGGGTGGAGGGAGGGGTGGAGGAAGGGGTGGAGGGAGAGGGGGGAGGGGTGGAGGGAGGGAAGGGAAGGGGGGAGAAGAAAAAACAAGGCCTCTTTCAGGGCTCAATAAGAGCTAGCTTGGGCTCCCTCCCTCCTCCCCTCCGTTCATGACATTTTTTGGGGGGTAAATGACCCCAAACTCGCTGATCTTCATACTCTGGCGTATGACAGGAAGCTCTTTTGGTCGGCCGGCCGATCAGGGAACTTTCACAGCTATCATTGCAATGAGGCGAAATCGCGGCACCTAGGACTAAATCCCTGCCTCGACAGTCAGAACGAGGGGCTGGGCAAACGTCAAAACTTCTGAAATCCCACTTCTATCCTGAGGCTCATATGCTTGAGGATCCCGCGTTGGAAGCCGACAAGGAGGTGTTTGGGTATGCACGACCCCTCACCAGTTGGTGTTGAGTCCACATCTACATAGCAATAGCCTTCAAACTCGCAAAACAAATCAAGACACACACACACACACACACACACACACACACACACACACACACACACACACACACACACACACACACACACACACACACACACACACACACACACACACACACACACACAGAGAGACGCACAGACGCACAGACGCACAGACGCACAGACGCACAGACGCACAGACGCACAGACGCACGCAAACGCACGCAAACGCACGCAAACGCACGCAAACGTACGCAAACAAACGCAAACAAACGCAAACGCACGCAAACGCACGCAAACGCACGCAATCGCACGCAAACGCATGCAAACACGCGCAAACACACGCACGCAAACGCACACGCAAGCGCACACGCACGCACGCACGCACGCACGCACGCACGCACGCACGCACGCACCCACCCACCCACCCACCCACCCACCCACCCACCCACGCACGCACGCACGCACGCACGCACGCACGCACGCACGCACGGACGCACGGACGCACACACTCACACACACACACACAGCAGGAATGCGATGGGAACCCCCCTCTCAATTAATTACAAGCTTTTCGTTTAAAAACAAATACAAAGTTCTTAAGAGTCCTTAAGAGGGTTCCTGTTGCATGAATGCCCAACAAAATCCCGGGGCAAGCTCCTCACTTCCCAAGTTGACTGGCCAAAAAAAGTCCAAACTTTATATTTGCCACTAAAATGGTCTTCCCAAAAAATTTAAAGTTCCTGAACTCAGGAAGTGAGGCTAATTACCCATCTGGGTGCCACATTCGATCTGGAAAGAAGCCGCCGGCTTGTTGCTTCCCGGCCTTTCTCTGAAGAGCGATATGCCCGCTCCGGCGCCATAATGCGCTCCTGGAGAAACCAAAGGCGTCCAAAGGCGGACCCGAAATGCTCTGCATAGGCGCTGTTCTTTGCTTTAAAGGGCGCTGGCAACCTTTCTTGAGGGGCGAGCCTCATCTCATGGTATTGAAATTACAAAAATCCTTCGGAGCGTCCGCAGGGTAGGCAGCAAGCGGTTCAGGTTCCGGCGGCGTGGTTGGGGGCAACCTTGGACATGTCTCAAAACGGGGGCACTCCCAAAGTTGATATTGTTGATTTGGCGCCTGGATCGCCAGTTGCTGGTTTTCACCCCAAAAGCTAGCAACAGTCACTGATAAAACAGCAACTTGGCTATCCAGGTGGTTTCCCTTAACCCCGTACGCTCGTACGCTCCAAGAAGAGGAGATGCCCATGTGGCCATGGGTCAAAATCCAAATCGTACCCCCAGTGAACATCCCAATCCCTAAAATAGACAAAAATGGGTGGTGAATTCACCTATATACCCCAAAATTGGATCCCATTGGTTTTGACCCACAGCCATGTACCCGTGAAACTCAACCACAACGCGAAGTGGAAATTGCCACCGCAAGCGGTTTCGGAGAGACCACCCTCAAGTCAGCAAGAAAAACAGATTCTGGCCGGCTCTGGGTTGGGCCCAACCACGGTTTGAACATGCTTGAACCACTACGTGGCCGAATTGGGTCTGAATTAAACATCGCACTCTGGGCCCTGTCCACTTTCCAGGCTGACGAACCACTAGACATAGATATCCAACAGCCAAAGCAACAGCTAAAGCAACAGAAGCAGAGTGGCGTCACCCACCCCCCACCCCATTCCCTTCTGGCATCAAGGTGCCAAAGTTTTCGCTGAAAATCGATGACCCTCAAAGAGTTGGCCCAAAGGGAACTTCCTCTACAAGTTAGGCGATTTGAATTCCCACCTGCATCGCCAGTTGCTGCTTCTTTCCGTCCACTTTACCCCAAAAACCAGCAACAGTGACTGAAAAAAGCGATCGAAACTTTGCTAGGCATGTCAGCGTCAAAGGCTTCAACTTGAGGTGGCGGCTTGAAAATTCCATCGCCGGTCGAAACCAAAAAAACTAACGGCCGGGGCAAAAAATCTATCCATGTCCTCGCGGCAAATGGAGCTTTGGCCGTTGGGCCGTTGGGCCAACCGACGGCCAACTTGCTTGAAGCATTCAGTTGGCCATGGGTCAAAATCCAAATCGGTTAGCCCCCAGTGAACATCCCAATCACTAAAACAGGTTCTAAAATGGGTGGTGAATTCACCTACCCCAAAAAAAGGCACCATTGGTTTTGACCCACAGTCATTTGGGCAACGAGGCCAAGTTTTCCAGGCCTTAGCTCGTTTTATCCCTGCTCATGACTTCATGCACATTTCATGTTCGCAGCGTCACATGGGGGTTGATCAATATTCCTGGCCGCCGGCCATGACCATGGGCAACAAAGACCCAGTTCGTGAGTGGGACATATTTCAACTCTTTCTAGTGGTCTCCCCCCCCCAATCCCATTTTCATCGGACCTGTCGGTCAACCCCCGTGATTTCAAAACCACCCTGATTCAAGGGGAAACCTGGGCTTATCTTAAAACAAAAAAAAAACAAGTCACCGGGTTGGTGTTCAAGTTGTTTCCCTTTAAACCACGTAGCCCCTTCATTTTACCAGACCCTCGGCAGGAAAAACAAAAAGCTCGTCCCGCCGCTCGCCTGGTCCCAGGCCGCCAGATCCTTCTGCGGCAGGCATTGCGCCACTCGGGTGAAGTCCTTGCCTTTGGCAGCGCCTGGCGGTTCGTGCGTTCGGTGCGGTCACCTGGGTGGGTGCGGCCCGGATCCCCCCCCCAAACAAAACTGAAAGAAAGACATGGGTTTACCCACCCAAAAATATGGAACCATGGTTGACGTTCGAAGGGGAGCAAAAGTTTAAAAAATATTAGCAGTTAAGTCAGTGGAGTGGTTGGATTTCAACCACCAAACCCAAAAAATAAGCCCAAAATGGGAAACAGGTTTCCCAACCATGGTTGCCTGGGCACCTGGCTGCGGGAGGCCTTCGGGCCTCCTTTGCCCACTTCGGCCTGGACCCCAGTCCGAAGCACCGCATAGCGGCGGGTTCGGTTCCGAGGATTCGTCCACCGATTCTTAGCCCTGGATTCTATGCGGTCCTTGGACCTGTGGTCCCTCAAAACGCCCCCAAGTTGAGAGACACTGGACGAAACGAACTGAAACCACTGAAAATCCATCAACTGACCAACTAAACAGCCAACGGCAACTGGAAATCTATGCTCGTTCAAATGAAACCACCGGAAATCCAGGCATCACACACTTTTTGCAGGACCCTTCTTATATCGGGAACTTCTGTCCACCACCTATTTTGCATGTATTTTAGTTCATGTATCCATGTATCCAGTTGCCCGGTGACATTAGCAGCACAAAGAATTGGAACCTTTTCCGGGCCTGTGCGAAATCCGCTAACAACCGCAGGGGTCTGTGTATTCCCTCCCTCCCTCCCTCGCTCCGCAGCCTGCCATGAAGGGCCGGCGCCCGTCCAGCCGGAGGTTGTACCTCACCTTGGTCAAAGCTCAACCCAAACGGATCGACATCATATCTGCCAAAGGGCAAGGGTGCAAGATGTTCGACCGATAGAGGGCGACCTCGTGGTGGGATTACTTGGCCCAAATATCTGGGATACAGGGAATAGAAGCCAAGATTATGGTCTAAAATAGCTTCATAGTTTGTCTACTGTTAACCTGGGCTGTCCTCAGATCCCCTGCTAAAGTCTAGCTTTTAGTGGTTTAGTGGAAACGCCTGAACTCCCTAGAACGCGAAAACCAAAAAAAAAAACTTTAAGACACCGGATGTCTGAGAACCACCAAGAAACATGGGCGTGTCTTCTGTTTTTTACCCCTTTCAAAATGGCTTTAAGGGAATCCAACAAAAATCCCCACATTTTGATGGGTCCCCTGCTCTGAGACAAACCCCACATCTAAAAAAATATATCTGTTTTGGAGACCCCAAAGAACTTGCTGGAACTGAGTGGGGAACGAGAAATGGAATGAACCCAGGGGTCCCCTCAAAGGAAACCACCAGTTGGATGGTTCTTTTCTTGGGGTCATTCCATTTCTCATTCCCTGCATCGCTCCCGCCAACACGGAAAAACCCGCCATTTTGAGGGGTCGAACCAACATCTAAACTCCGTTTTTGGAGACCCCAAAAACCCTCCGCAAAGCCAGCGCCAGGTCACCGTGGCCTCCATTTTCGCCGGCTCCAAACGGCAGAACCCGCTGCCGCGGTCCATGGAGGGCGAGGGCATCTGGCGGTGCAACAGCTCCACCTGGCGCCCAGGGGGAGGTACTCGCGGGGGTGCCTGGGGTGCATATGAGGTACCCATCAAACATGGAAGGGGGGTTGGGAATATTCGGAATATGGGTAGTATAGGCCATCAAACGTGGAATCTCATGGTTGTCAGGCCCAAAGAGGGGACCCTGATAGACCCTGATGGGCCTTGTTCGCCGCTGCAAGCGCTCATTGGGGGCCCTTGACAACCATAGGATGGAAGGGGGTACCCGGCATGCATGTATGGGTAGTTTTATCGGGTCCCCCTCCAAAAGTGGATCAATGTACTGGTTTCCACTAAAACTGATTCACTGTTGGAGGTTGCCTTGAAAGGGAAATGGCTTGGAAACCCTGCCTGACAGGGACACGCCCAACATGGAACCAGGAAAGTTCTGGAATATGGCTTTTGGTTGCACACCTAGGTGATTCTCCCAGAACCCGCCAAGCTTGTGGCGAGAAAGGCGAGACTCCCCGTCGATCTCTGCTGGAAAAAATAAAATAAACATATTTCCAGCAGTGATAGATTCCCTTTAACACCAGCAAAGGAAAATAAACATGTTCTTAAGCAAATGGAAGCCGGCTGGGACCCGGGGGGGGTCCCTCCAGTCCGCTTTTTTTGTTGGGGGGAAAAAAAACACGTTCTGAAGCAAAATCGTCGGCCTCCTTGCTCTTCCGCGCAGGCTTCATCAAGGGCACGTAGGGCTCCACCAGGTCCACGGCGCGACCACGCAGCTCCTAGCCACAGGCGCGATCCGAGACTCAAAGGCCCAAAGGACCGAGGAGGAGTTTGTGTGTCGACTGGTGGCTGGTGGCTCATGTTGACTCTGGATAGTGGTTTCTTGTCTTTTTCTTTTTTTTGTTTAAACGCTCTAACAACCCCAGCTGATTGAGGATTGAGGGGTCAGGAAGAAAAGAATGCCTGCCAAACAGGGACCACCTTTAGCAAGAAGTGATTTCTAGTTTGCCATCAGGGGTCGACACTGTGCGGGGCATTTGAACAAAAACTCAAGCGATGCTCTTGAAGGACCATGTGTGTGATTACATAGCCCCTCGTGAGCTTTGCGCGGATATGGACCCTTTTGGAGCCAAAAGTAGGTTCCTCGCACGAAGGGAAACTGGGGCTGGCGCAAAATGGCTCCGAAATGGGTCTTTGGCTCCCCTTTGGTTTCCTAGTACTGTCCACTTGGGATTGGTAAAGGGGGGTTTACGAGGTCGATGTTGAGCTTCCTAATGAACTGATTTAATATTGCTGGATCTTCCTGTTGAAACTTGATGGAGGCTTGAATGTCCATCTTCCAAACTTAAACAAAAAAGGGCTAAGCATCCACATTGGTTTCTTTCCCTTTACCACACAAACACCACCACAACCACATGTGTCCTTCCCTTTCCCAGGACCAAGAAAACCGGGCGCTCCCAACTCCCCAACTCGGCAGAACTCGGCGGAACGTCGTCGATGATATCAGAGCCGAGCCGCCGCGCGGCCGGTGGCGCCGCAGAGTTGGATCATCTCCTTGTCCCAGGCGTGGGGTGGGCCTCGAATAAAAAAACCGCGCATTCGGCTCTCGCCGCAAATTCGGCTCTCCGGCGGAAACCGCCGAGCCAGCGGCTCCCGTAGACAAAAATCGAAGTGGATCGATCCATTTCGGGGCCACGCTCCAAGAAAAAAAACCGCTGAAATCAAAGGGATGAAGAGAGGACTACTCTTCAGACATTTTTGGGGCCCAAATCAAGATGAAGAGATGCCACTCTTCACGCCAGAGATCCAGGCACGCCTGAAAGTTCGAACTTCATGGTTTGCTTGGGCACACTGTTAAAGTGCAATTGACCGTGGTTAACACCGGCCAAACCTCCTTAAAATGGACCACAGAACCACCGGTTTTACCTTTTACCGGTGGTTCGATGCCTTTCCTCACCCAAAAAAAACAACCGTCAGCAACAGGGGGCCCCAGGTCTTTCCGATGGACATCAACGGCTGTTCGATGTCCGGCATCGGCATTCGCCATGGGTTTTCTCCGTGGGTGTTCTCCGTGGTTTTTCTCCGCTGCGGCCTGAGGGTCTGGGAAGCTGAAGATGTGTATGGAAGCTCTTGAAGGGACCTCTTTGGGAGACTTGGTTCCATTTACAAAGGCCACTTGCGGGGAGCTTCCGGCTGTTCGTCTGAGACAGTGCTTGTTACTAGCCACCTTTTGGCCGGAAGGGACTGGGTAAGGCCTGACATCGGCCAAGATGAGCACACAGTGGGTCTAAAGGCAGAGCCACCGCCTGGGGCGACCTTACAGGACTGTCTGAGGCTAGGTTTTGGAACTCGCAAAACGAGTCTTCCCTCTGGAAGCGACCAACTGATCCAAGCAACCCACCCAACCAACCACCCAACCAACCAAACAACCAACCAACCAACCAAGCAAGCAATCAATCAATCAACTGATGGACTGACCACACCACCAGTGACAACTGCCCCGTCTGCCAGACCTGTCGGACGTTGCCAAAAATGGGCCCTGAACGATCCATCGGAGCCTTTGCCAAGCGGCTGTTATCTCCCTCATCAAGCGAACGTGTCACAGTCAAGGCCAGGCCTTGAATATCCCACTCCTCAGCTGCATCTCAACAACGGCTCTCCAAACAATGCGAGCCCATCCTGGCTGCGTTTTCAGTGGTCAAAGCGATGAACTCCCGAAAACTTGTGGGCGTCCAGCTGGAACCACAAAGTAGAAGGTTTCCCTCAGAAACAAGCCAACAAACTCAACTGCAAAAAGGCGAGCATATCCAAAGCCCGGATGGTCTTCCCCAATTGGAAACACACCCATATCACAAATATCTAAGCTGCGCGAAAAAGCTCGACAGAAAAGGTTCACTTGTTGGAGCCTCCATGGATGTTGATTCGCTTTGGACAACTCACACCAACGTTCAGCTTGGCTCTCAGTGGTTTGGATTGGTTGGTCGCTTGGACGAGAAAGGGAACCTTCCCCATGCGATCAAAGGCACGCCAATCGAAACCATCAATTTAGGGGTAGCTGAAACAGTAAATTAACAACACACACACAGACTTGGGTTTGTCTCCTTACCCCTTAAAACTCCAAGCCCTGGGGAAGTTAATCTTTTACAGACATATAGCCCATGTTATCCAAAAAGTTGAAAAGTTGTGCTTTTAAGAGGTAAGTCTCTCTCTCTCTTTCTCACCCCTTTTGGTGTGGTTTCAAAGGGAACCCGGGAAAAAAAACACGTGTCTCTCTCCTTTGGGCATGGTTTTAAAGCGGCGCCCAGAAGGACAACACCACTGCTTCGGGAGGTTTTTTGACCCAAAAGCTCTACCTTTTTTTCCCACGGGAAACCGGAAGGGAAACGCCACGCCACGTTTTGGTGTCGTTCCTCCCCCAAACAAAGACCGACCCTTCCCCGCTTGGCAGACACGGCTCTGGGGGAACCTGCCGCGGTGCCCAGGGCGCCGGCAGCACCCGGCCTGGCGCCCACCAAGTCCCAAGTTTTTTTTTTTGTTTTAATATATATATATTTACATGGCTGTGGTTGTCAGAAAAATAAGTGCTCAAAACGGCTTGCCCCTGGTAAATGGAAAAGTGGACTGAAACCTGCCGGCCCCTGGTGGTTTTTGACCCAGACCCACATGAAGAACCAGTGGTTTGGGTTGGCGACCAAACCAACAATCAACCTGCTGGGTTGTAAGCGACAGGTTGATCCAATTTTTAGTTGGAACCTGCTGGCTTGGACCATCTTCCTCTTGAAGGGACCTCCTGTCAGGTTTTAATCCGTGGAAGGGTATCAAACAACCAGGTGGCCTCTCAGACACAAGACCTCAATTTTCGGGCTGTGATTTTTCAGGTACCTGGGACCCACCTGCATGCTCTGGGAGTGTTTTGGGTTGCTGATTGACATTCTTGCTCTTTTTGTGATTGATTAGAATTAAACAAATACATTGCTGGAAACTGGTTTCCTTTCGGTGTGGTGGAAAAGGTCCTGTTTGAAGTGGCCAGACTGAGCCTTGCACAGTGGTGCTGTTTGTGTCCGAAAAACCCGGCCTATATGCACGAACCGCATGCACGAATTCCCCATCTTCTTCCTTCTCAATGAACAAACACATGTGCAGTTAAGTGCGGATTTCCCACTAAGCAACCATAAGCAAAATGTAAATGTTTCCCAACAACAGCCATGTGGTTGCAGATTCAGGAACATACAACTGGCAATCCGGACGATAATCTCGGAACCCCCAGTCGCCTTTGACGTCCTTGGAGCCGTTGTCCAAGTTCCATCTGGCGCATGTCGCATGGGCAATCAGTTCATCCCAGTTGCACAGACCGAGCAAAACACGAGGGTGGCTCAGCGGGACAAGCGCAAATGTGCATTCTGTAATTACTGGAGCGCTTTGATTAGCGCCAGTGGAAATTCTATACTGGGGTCCTTTGATTTTCCCACCCTCGCCCCAAAAGCTAAACCGGAGAATGGTCGAATCACGGGATGTTTCCCGGTTCAAGCAGCAAGCCGAGATCATATGTGATAAGGCAAGCTCCCCCAGCAAGTGACCTGCCGAGCTCCTTGAAACAATGAATGACGCCAAAAGGAGATTTCCTTTTTGACAGGCGTCCAACAAAGGAACCAAAGCCCAACCAACACGACGCCAACGGGAAACTTTGGACACCATTTTTCGGTGGCTACTCCTGCGCCAAGCATTGAACATCATTTAAGTGTTTGTTGCTTTGCGCGCTTGCAAGTCAAGAAAGACAAACTTGACCCACAACCAAATGGGCCACAGTTTTTGTGAGGGTCCCTTTCTGAGGTTGTCTAAGGGGACCTAAGCTTTGTTGACCTTTGGACGGGGAGCAAAACTTTAAATTTTAGAAGCTAAGTGGGGATTTCCCACTAAACCACAATAAGCAAAACTGTAAATGTTTCCCAACAACAATCACGTTAAGGACACAAAAGCCAAGGTCGCCTGATCAGCGTCTCCCGTGACTGCGGCCGCTCGTCCAGCGCGGCCACCTGCAAGAGAAGCCAAGCGAGTCCATTCCGGGTCGTTCAAATAGAGGCTAGAACACATGGGGAGCTGAGTAGACCCGTCTCCTGTTGCTATCCTTTTGAAGGCAACATGGACATGGGATTACGGTTGCCATGTATCCAAGAGTGCAAGACCGCCAACCACAGAAACTCTGGTGGATTGCGGAAAGTTACAGGGTCCCTTGCAAGATTGAGAACAAACACTGGAGGCAAAACAAGAATGCACTATCTTCGGGTCCATTATTAATACCCTTAGTTGCGTGCCCCGTGAAGAAACTGCCCCCCTAGAGGTGCCACTTGCAATCACTTGAAAGCTGCCTGCGAAACTGAAATCTGACAGCCAGGCAAACCATCCATGTTCTGACCCGCATTCTGTGGTTGGTGGTTGCTTGTCTTGTTCGGGTTGCCTGGTTGGTTGGTTGGTTGGTTGGTTGGTTGGTTGGTTGGTTGGTTGGTTGGTTGGTTGGTTGGTTGGTTGGTTGGTTGGTTGGTTGGTTGGTTGGTTGGTTGGTTGGTTGGTTGGAAGGGGACACTGATAGGCGACTATCCCGTGGAAGTGCTCCCCTACTGTGGATGGTTGCGAAATCCAGTTCGCACCATCTAAGAAAACGAGCAGGACAGCAGGACTCGCGCGCCTCGGCAATCCACGCCTTCTCCCGAGCATCGCGCTTCTTGCGCAAGGCTGCCTCGGGTCGTGGTTTTTGCCAGCTGTCTTTGGAAATCAATCCCGTACCGTTGGAGTTGGAACTACAAAAAGTCACTGGATATCCCGAAACATTCCTTCAACCATTGGCCCTTTGGTGGTTTCCCTGGCGAAACTGCCGCTTTTGGAAAACCCTCCAAAAAGGGTTCTTGCCTTGGACACCCTGAACTAGTGACCCCGAAAAACCGCGGGGGCAAAAACCGCGACAGGGAGCCTCGGCTGCCGCTGAAGAACTCAGACAGGAGTTGTGATCGGGCGCAAGGCCACGACTTGAACAAATTCTCATCCTTTACGTGGTGAGAGTGCGCCGGAAACCGAATGGAAAGCCGAAATGAGCTTGCCGGACAATCGGCAGAACTATTCTGAACAAGAGGACTGGTCAAATGAAACACGCTTCATTCTCAGCCTGAAGTGGTCATCTTTGGCTGCTGTGCATCGACATGCCTTGAACGAGAAAGGCTTAAGTTACAGCGGTTTGATTGTGTCATGTCCAATCAGACTTCTTCACACAGAAGTAGCGATTGAGGAAATTAAACCAAAAGAAACTATTCGTGAGACTACTAGGAGCGAATGGTTCTGAATACCAGACAAAACACCGAACAAGCCAAAACTTTACTTGAAATATGAACTTGGACATTTAGCAAATAACACATGCCTGACTGTGTATATATATATATATATGTATTAATTAATGTAAATCATAACAACACAAGATGACAAGGAAACCAAATGGACACCGTAGAAAAAGAGCCTGAAGTCACCATAGGTTCATATCACAGCTCCTCATAAAGTCAGTGTCCAACTGCCAAGATGCGTCGTCTCTCAGCGGCAAGCCGCTCCAAGTTCCAGTATGCAAAGAGCACATGGCTCTTCACTCAACTGGCATCTCGCGGCTGCCAAGCCGCGATGTTACTTTGCTCAGCGGCCAAAGTCAATTAGGGTTAGGGTTTAGGGTTTAGGGTTTAGAGGGGTCAAAGTCAAGAGTTCCCTTAAATTGGAGAATTGGTGTGTTCCTCTTCTGAGCAATTCGTCCACACTTTGCATGACACAAACAGCGCTCGTGCCAGCCTTCTTTCGAGGTCTCCTGGACCATAACTCTTGCACGCCTCCTTGTGATGCTGCCCCAACATCTCTCTTGCATAGTTGCCCCTAATGAGGTTTGTACAATTTTGAATCCCCAAACAAACATCCGATGGTCGCATTCCTGGCGCCCAGGGCCTGTTGGCTTGATCCAACAGCTGCAAAGTGGATCAAGGCTGTCGCCTTGTCACATATGCGTCAGGTGAGCGGTGTGGCCCAAAATTCTAGGGACAATACTGGACGAAATCCATTTCGCACCACCGTTCAGGAACAATGGAATGATGATCCCCCGGTATATGCCAACAAACAACGGTTTCCACCATGATTGCAATGTGGCGCAAAATGGATTTTGTCCATCCACAGATATCCACAGATCATGTTACAAGCTGGGTATTCAAGCAGCTGCGTAAAGAAAACAGGATGCTTCCGTGGCTTCCGGTGCCAGCGGTCTGAATTCATTGCTTGGTTGCCAGTCAGTCGAGAGAACAGGAAAACCACGGCAGTGGTGGGTCCGACATATGACTTTTGGCATCAAAAACAACACCTTCCGCGGCCTTCGCGTTCAAACTTTGCAACATCTTCGGATGCTTCCGCGGAGCTTCGGAGTGCTCAAGCCTTCTACGGAGTCGATTTGGCAACCCCGGTTTTGCTTCACAAGGTGCTTGCTCGATGCTCGGGTTGCTGCGGTTCTCAAGTGCATTGTCTACCACGCTCGATATCATCTGCCGTGCATCGGCTGGACAGTGCGCGGAAACTGAAGCGACGCTGCTTGCTTGATGGATACAGCTTCCATTCCTGGCCGAACGAATGTTGCTGGCTAGCGGGAATCATGTCACCCCAGCACCCCATCGACCACCAAGCACCTAAAGAGAGTGATGCCCCAACTTGCGGCAACATACAGACTCCTAAGGAAAGGCGCCGAAGTGACTTGTGGCACCACAGGGACTGAGGAAAGGCGAAAAAACGCCTACCCTCTCCATGAGCTCCGGCTTGTCCCGGACCCAAAAACCGCACCTCTTCGGGCTTCTCCTGCGTGATCTGCGTCCCGTCTGGATTCCGCACGTCCTGCACAGGCTTTGCCCCGCAGATACGGCATGATGCCGTGGATGGACGACATCATGCACCATCTAAGAAGCCCTGGAAGGATGAGTTTCCTGTACATACGAAACCATGCATGGCTTCAATATGACGGAAGGCCTGATCATCCGAAACGAAAGGGCTGGATATGTAATCAGCCAGGTCCGGGTTAAAGGAGCTCAATGGTCTGCACCAATGTTGCAAGCTGAAAGAAGGCTGGGTGCCATGCATGGGGCAGCAATGTCCACAACGACCCGACCATCCTTTAAGGAAACTAGACTCTACAAACATTCCCTCGATCATTGCCCGCCCCCCTGAAGGAGACACCTCGAGTGAATCTGGGGGAGTCTTTTACGTACCTAAGTTTGACAGAACATTCAACTCTAGTTCCTTTGTTCTGATCTCCAGTTTCCTCTCATAGTGGATGGAAGACAGGGCATCCAGGACAAAAAACAACTTGCCCATTCCTGCCTTGTCACCTTGTCTGGAAATCAACAACAAATTAACACACATACAGCAATATGGGGGTGTCTCAAGATAGGGAACCTCCGCATGGTTTGTTGCCCTCCACCTTTGCAACAGCCACAAAAAAAGGGTGCCCTCACAAGAAGACACCCCCATATACATGCATAATCACACTGTTTGACTGCACTGGCCAAAAACAAGTGCAAAACTGGTTGTTTGCCAGTAAGATGGCCTTCCAGAAAAGTTTAAAGTCCCTAAACTCAGGGGGCGTTACCTCTCCACAAGACAACCCCCCAAGAAAGGGCCCCTGGAGGAACCCCGCTCGCTATGGATGCGTCCAGGAGTTCTCCTCTTTCCCTCTGCATATTCCTTTGAGTTCAAAACCGAAAAGAGACTCGCCGTTTCAGAGGCCCCTGGGGCTTCACAAAAAAACAAAAACACCCAGAGACAAACCAAGGCTCAAACCCAGCTTTTCAGGGAGAAGTGCTCGATCCCATTGACACGCCTCACCTGGCCCAAAACCCTCCCGCTCCTCAGCCCAAGGCTTCCCGCGATTCTCACCCCGAAGGAAGGAGACCTGCCGGGTTCCAGTCCGGGGTTTGGGTCCGGGGTTGAGATTTTCGGAGAAGGGCAGCCATAAGGTTCCTGTCTTGTTGGTCTTTCTCTTTTCGGGGTGGGGAATATTTCTGCGAACCCTTTTCTGAATTGCCTTCCTATTTACTATCGCTACCCGACATTAGATTTGCATTCGCCAAGGCGCGATCCATTGAGTCAGAGCAAACGGCAAACCTCCCTGCAAGAAAGAAGCTATGAGGTGTTCCCGGTCACTACCAAACGCTGTGTCCAAACGTAGGAGACCTGCGGTTGCGCAGGAGATGACATACGGAGCCAACGTCAAAAAAAGACTAAACCAGTGAAATCTAAGAGGTCCCAATTTTGTTGCAAGAAGGACGTGGGCGGTTATCATATGACACGACTACATGTTACAGGGTACCCCTCAGAGATGCCGCTTGCGGTTACTCCTTAGGAAATTGGTTTTACAACATCAGCTCAACTCAGGTGCCATGTGAAGTCCCAAATCCGGTCTTACAAAAAAGGTCTCAGGTTTCCAAATCCTCTCAACCGCCATGGAATCCATGATCCAAGTGTTGACCCAGGTCCGCGGGGTGAAGAGCAAAGGGCCACCGGAGCCTTCAGAACTTCAGCTCGCTGCTTGGGTTTTGCGTATATTTTTTTCCCTGGGATTTGCACAGCTCAGTCACAGGTCAGGAAACCAATGAAGGCAAAACAAACGCAGGGTGACGTCCAAACAGGTGACCACCGTACTGCTCTCCACAAGGCGTGGCAGTCCAAAAGGGGCGGCGATCCCGAATTTTCGTCAAACCGCCCAACGGTAGCAGTCCCCCACTCCCAGTTTGCCACCATCCATCACATCTGCCGGGCCCCAAGCAAACCTGGGCGGAGAAAACTTCAGAGGGCTGTGGGAAATGGAATCCACTTCTGTGATACAACCAGAGCTTCCCCGAAGACGAAGGGAGATTCCCTTGTATCACAGAAGTGGAGAGAACCCTCTTGCTCCCCCTGGTTCAGAGCGATTTGGCCTTCTGATCCTTCACCAGCATGCGGAAGCCAGGCGAGATGATCTGGGAATGGTGCACGAAGATCTTTTCCTCGCCGATTTTGTGCGGATGAGACGTTCCCTCTCAAACTTCAAGGGTGAAGGCTTCAGCTTGGGGGAAGAGCTGCAGCTGAAAAGGTAGCAGCACTGACGAAGGAAAGGTTGAAGCGGGAATCAAACTGCTTCACTCGAATTCTTTGCAGCATCTTCTCTGTGATTCGGGCACGAGCCTGTGCCCAGGCAATGGGTAAGTTGGGGTAAGCAAGCCACAAAAGAAAGGTTCCCCAAAAGCAAACCAATCCCCGGTCCCAAAGATCAGGGTTTCCCACACACCAGAGAACAACAACCAAAAGGAAACAAACCAAACAAGAAAAGGGTTAACCCGCAACCTTGGTCGACAACAGGCCGCACGACTGGTCCCTACCAACCTGGCGGCGGCCCGAGGTCTCTTTCTCCCCCGAGATGCCGTCGGTCGACGCAGGGGTTCGGCGACGCCCATTCGAGGCGCGACGGAACCCAAAACTTGAGCCAAACACCACAGGTCAGTCACTACCGCGACATCCCTGGTGATGAAATAAACCATGGCTAATCACACCCCCCTCACGAGGAGCCCGTCATATGACGGGTGGAGCGTGCCATTTACTGATAGGATTTAACTGCTCGCATACGTCCGCAAACAGCTGGACACTACCGCCGTCAGCGGTGGAGCAAACCCACAAAGGCAGTCGCGCGACATCCCGGGCATTAAATTCCCGCCACCACCCCGAATTAATCGGGGTAACGCTGTCCAACATACCTTGTGGAAAAGTCCACATGACGACAATAGGTCACAACTGTTTGCATCAGAAATGCAAGAAGTTTAATTCCCCAGAGGGTCCGAACACGTTCTCAGGATGGGTTTCTGGAAACCCTTTCTCACAGCATACTTTCAGCCAACATTGCTCCAGAATGGTCTTTGGGGGAAAAACCGGTCTCCGGGCATGTTAGCTTAATTGTGGATCGCACGTCCCTGCAGCTGTTTGTTTTTATGACCATGATCATGTTAAACATGTGTTTCAGCAGACATGTCACGCATGTACATCCCTTGTTTCTGCAACATTGCATCAGCATAGCATCGAACCACCCAGATCAGTGCATGTCTAATCAGCATCATTCGACTAGATGGATTGCAGGTTCATGGGGTGCACTCGACAGCAATGGGGCTGGTCAGGAATGCGGCTTTACGTCAGCCTTGGCATGTTTGGTGCAACACATTGTGTGTCGAAGCCCTGCTCTCGAGCTCTTTTTTCGCCGCAGCATTTGGGCTTTGCAATCGATGGCGCTGGTGTCTGAGAGCCTCGGCAGTGGCATGTGCAGGGTGATCAGTCACCCCATGCGGGTGAGGGTCAGTGAGCCTTGGCCATGGATCTATGATCATCATGTTGCTTTTCAAATCGCAATGATTGCGTGATATAGGACTCATGTGTTAAAATTAATTGCTAGCCAAGGCAGAAGCTGACACAATTGAGCAAACGCTCAAAAACGTGGTGCAGAAACGCATCCTGGAGATTGCAGGCAGTGAGGACTGCCGGGTGGGTTCATGATTTACTTGCAATTGCTCCGGACCCTGATCAGGACAAGACCATTGTGATTTGGTCAGGGGGCTGCACGGACACCCGGCTGCACTAAAATGGCATGCTCACCATGATC